TTGGTGGTGATGTGATAAGGGTGGTTCATCCCGGTAGGGTGGCCTGATGACAGTGAGTTGAAGAAAAAAGACATCAGTGTGATGCTTTGTGTGGAAAAGCCACCAGGAAGACCACACAGCGTGGAAATCTTCAAACAAGACAAATGCACGCGCATTCACCCTGTAACCCATCTGCTCGCCATGCAGAAGAATGTGTGTGTGTCCTGAATATCCACTTTCCAGATGGGGTGCAGCGGGCCACGACAAAAGGAGCTGGCAGACGAATGATGACAGTCGAGGCTGAAGGGGCGGACGGGTGGTGCTCGGGCTGGCAAAGAGATACTCACTGGCCTTAAATCAGATGTTCAAGGATGTCCCATGACTGCAAGAAGCATACTGGGTGTTAACAAAGACCAGAAAATAAAATAGAGGAATTGCGAAGGGTGGATTTGGTCACCAAGGTGTTTTTCCTCTCACCCAGCTGTTAAGAAATCCATTTCCTTCACCCCAAAGTTCCTCACAGGTCCCTTGCTAGTGACACCTTTCAGCAGGCGCGATTGCTTTCGAGGCCTTCTCTGGCCTTGTGATTTCCCCTGAAGTTCCTCAGAAAGAATGTGTCCAAAGAATTGGAAATGATTTGTCTTCAAGAAAACATCTTGCCTGGGATGGTGTCTTCATGACACCAAAGCCATATCTCGCTGTCTGCGCAAGATGAGAGGTGTTGAAAATTATTGACTGGTTTCCTTAGCAATCTCAGAAGGCTGCAGGAGCACCCACGTTCTCCCAGTGCCAAACAAAGATCCCCCTTTTCGTGGAACTCATCAAGTAGGTGTGTCTTCTCTGACCCCTTCTTAGGGACTCAGGGGCTGTGGCCTTGTTAAGACATGCTGGAAGATGATGTGCCAGGTGACAAGATGAACCCCAGGATGCAGGGGCTCCAGGATTGGGGCAGCTTCTCCCAGGAGGCCTTCTGGGGAGCGTGCTTGTGAAGAGCCACTGGGTGGGGATGCTCCCAGCCCAACGGGTCTCCTCCACCTGCTGGGCCCGCCCCACTTTGTGCTGCTGCTGCTGCCTGTGAGGGACAACTGTTATATCTCAGATCAGCAGGGATGGGTCCACCAGACTTTCTCTAGTGCTGCCATGAAGCAATAACTTTTCTGAACTATAAAATTGAAAAACATACACAGTTTTTGAAAGATGGAATGTAACTTGAAGATGCATTTAGTTGCCCTCAGTCTCATCCATGAGGGACTTTCAACCCAGGACCATTGGGTTGGGTTGCTGAAACACCAATCAGATGTTTCCGGGTAGAGGGGTAGAGTCTTCAGTGTCCTCTGCCACACTGTGCCCCTGCACTGCTATCCCAAACACTGCTGAATCTTTTGCCACCTGACGGGTTTCTCCCCATGACTCGTTTTTTTTCTTTTCTTGTGCATCTCTCAATGGCACATGTTCAACTATTAAATGTTACAGTTTTCTGTAGCCTAGGCATTAACAGCAACCTCTCCAAGCTCCATAAAAGCTAACTGCATGACATAGTTTAGCCACATACAAGGGTCTAACTGCCAGGAATTTTCTCTACAAAACCAAAATGTCCATTCTACAAAGATGGTAAGGTTTGCTGAAAGTAAGTGTGCATCAGGCCAGGGTTCAGAGCTGATCTCAGGGCCATGCAGAACAGCACTGAAGACAGAGGTCCCCGGTTTTTGTTGTTGTTGTTTGTTTGTTTGTTTTTGTTTTTTGTCTTTCTTTTTTTAAATTTATTTATAAATTTATTTTTATTTATTTTTTTTAGGAGAGTAACAATGGTTAGTTCTTTGTGTATTGTTACTGCCAAAGTAGTTTCTCATATTACAAGATATAGGCAAGCAATAATAAGTAAACAACATAGGTACAAACCTCTGTTTTTTTTTTAAAGTCAACAGAAAATGGAAATATACTTTTTAAACTTTCTAATACTAGGAGAAGATATCATACAATGTCATTTAAATAAATTGTAAGTCAAAAATACAGTATAAATCTTAGAACAAAAATTAAGATTTAAGCAATATTCAGAAAATTAAATGTTTCAAAACAATTGAACTAAGAAAAACTTTTCATGATAGCAAAGAAGTACTAAGAGTAAAACATAAGATAAATACTG